CAAAGATATTTCAGTTATATTTTCATTCATTTTATAGTGAAAATTTTGTTTTGTACTGCTTTTACCTTGCAGCTGCATTTTGTTGCATATAAAATAAAGGAAAAATGGATTATTTCCTTGGAAAATGACATTCAATTGAGAAATAAATTTTCTTGATTACTTTTTTGTAGTGTTTTCAACCCGTTGTTGATTTGGCCAGTCGAACTGTTCGAACCATCACCTGGCCAGGATTTCAGGTCCAGTTTAGTCAATACCTGCCAGATGGTCAAAATTTATTCAACCCAGTTGGTTCAATTACTAACCTCGTGGGTTGCACACTTAATGCATGCAAACTTTTGGAGGCCATAACTTTGCGTTCCGATGTCTGATTGAGATAATTTTTTTTTGTAACTTTTCGAGATCTATGCGTCCCAAGGTGCCATAGACTCGTTGCCTTGTTATTTTCACGGAAAAAAAATCTTAACCTCAAATTGCATTTTTTTATAAATAAAAAATTTAAAACTGAATTAAAATAACATAAATTAAATATAAAAATACATATAACATGTCTAAAATATATTTATACATTATTTATTGATAAAATATATATTTACACACACACAATATATATATATATATATATATATATACAAGTGGAACGGTCCGACCCAATCAAACTGGTGACCCACGACCCGGAGGCAAAAACAGTTTGGCCTCTAGGTCGGGTTTTAAAGCATTGCTTTTTTGTTTTTCTAAAACCATTTTTTGTTGATTTTTTACAACTTTTTATATGGAACCAAACACCAAAACATAAACAAATTTCATGTAATCATTAAATTTCCATCATTTTTGTGCAACCAAACAGAGCATAAAGAGATAGGTACTAACGCTATAGTTTTCCCCCCTTGTGACTGGTACATCTTACACCACACATCTGGAACACTGCCTGAGGACCCAACTGGACTGGCAGATTGGGGCCCATTTGGTCTGACAATATTCCAAACAGTGCAGTATTTTGTACTTGTAAATGGTAAAAGGGAAGAAGAGGGGGGAAATTCCAATTTCGTTTTCCCCTCCTTTCTGACTTCATTGTCTAAAGTTGGTATACATATACTGATGTTCTTTTCCATTGTTTCCAAATCATCAAAAGCAGGGCATCCAGATCCAGTAATCAATTAAATCGGACTACTATAGATGGGTTGGTGGATTAAGGGCAAAACCTATGGGCACCCTGATGTCCATTTTCCGTATCCCATTTGCTGTCCCGTAACAGGGCCAGGCCCAGCATAAAATTGACCACTGGACGGATATAATTCGTGAACAAAAAGCTTGCATTTTAAACAGTTCAACTGGGTGTGGATTTTTTAAACCCGTACCCCTGGAAGCAGCCTTTCGGACTGAACTGTCCACATGTGGTGGGATACGGGTTACCTCATTAACGGATTCATATATACGCATTTGGCATACCCCTTAAGTTACGTCACCTGTCATTTGTGTATCATACGGGTCGGATCCAACAAAATTGTATTCGGATCCTACCGAAGGAGTCATGGTATGGGTATTCTTATGGGTTGTGGAAATGGAGAATGTTAATTTGGGTAGCCCGCCCCGCTAGGGGTGGCAATTTCCCCCGTCCCCGATGGGTACTCGGGCTCCCCAACCCGACGAGGATGGGGATGGGAGGTATTTTGGTGGGGTCGGGGTCAGGGATGGGACTATCTTGAATCCCTGATCATGTTTGGGGATGGAGATGGGGAATGCAATTTCTGCCCCGATTCGGCTCCAATTAATAAATATATAATTATATATAATATATATTATTTATTATTCGTTTTTTTTAAAGATTAAATACAAACATTCGACAATTAATAAACAGAGAACTTTGAAGTGAATCGTGAATTCTAGTCTTCTTTTTCCTTTGTCTTCGTCGTCAATTCGCCGACCGTTGTTGCTGTCGCCACTCGCCCATCGGACATTGGATGTCTATTGTCACCATTCACCAACTACCAGGCTACCACTCAAGTCTCAACAAAGGACAGAGATTAAGAGATATTCAAGGAGGAAAGAACTGAAACTCACTTCTTCAATCTTCATTCGACTTTCGTCTATCATTGGTGACCGTTGTCATCGTCGCCCGTTGGACTCTCTTTCATCACCGGCCTCAACTCGCAACGGTCCTTAGTCTCTCAGTTTTCTCGGGGATTTGGGTCTCCGATGGGGAATTCATCCCCGTCAGGGTCAGGGATGAAGGGGGATTTCTTTCTTCAACGGGGATCAAAAACGGGGGTGGGAGGTGATTTGGGAGTCAAGATCGAGGATGGAAAATGTAATTCCCGCCCTGTCCGCTCATCGCATGTTGTACCCCTAATAGAGTTAAGTGTTAGGTGTGGGCTGGAAAATGTCAAATCATGATGAATTTGGGTCTTGGGAGGATTAGACAAGATATAGAGTATGGACCCTAATTTTTTATGTTTTATAATTTTATTACACAAAATAGTAACTTTTAACTTTTGGTTTTTCAACCCATTGTTGATCCTGGTTGGTTGTACGGGTGACATGATGATCCGGTCAGGATCTTGGTTTTGGGTCAACCTCTCACCCATTATATTATAAAAAAGGTTGTCTTGCCCAACAACCCGGATAAATGAATATGTTGATCCATCCAACCTACTCGATGTATTATCAGTTTTTTATATTTATTTTCAAATTTTTATATTTTTTTATAATGGTTTGGGCTAACCTCTCGCCCATTATATTATCATGGATTGACTCATTGGCCCAGATGGATAAATGGTCCAGCCTCACCGGGTTTTAAAATGCCGATTTGGTATAGGAAGTGTTTTGACTGTTTATTAGACCTTAGAGTATTCAGACTCCATTGAATAAGCTTTAGGAGGTAGGAAACGAAAATGAATCAGAAAGTGTTTTGACTGTTTTAGAAGATTTTTCTTTTTTTTTTTTTTTATAAAAATAAGAATTGATTTTAAAAACACTAGTGTAAGGCACATGCGCAACGTGTAAGGTAAAGACATAAATTAATATGTATAATCAAATTTAACTTTTTAGTTTTTATTACTTTCACCAAAACTAAGGCAACAAATATTCGCTAGACCTTTTAAAAACATTTTAATGATGTTGAAAGCATGATAAATCTGCAACTACCATTAATTGAAGTTTAGAGAGTTGGGATCATCTGCCAAAAAAAAGTTCTAACACTCTCCATTTATTTGACATTATACATCTCACCATGAGGTTGGGAGTTGGGCGGGTGTTGGAACATTTTTCTGTTGATAGGTGATTGGGACTCATCTGGAGAGCTGTGGAACCAATAATAACACCCCACCTCACTCAGAATACATGGAATTCAAATGAAAGATTGAATGGTTATGGGGTTATGGGTCCCATGTATTTTACGTGTAGGGTATTATCATTGGTTCATACCATGCTATACAAGTACAACCATCACATTCAACTAATCTAGTTGGAAAAATACATATTGGCGTTTGGTATAACATGTTGTATAATTTTAGAAAGCACAAAAATAAATAAATAAGCCCAAAAACATAAAGTATGTCAATTGACCTCAAAAAATACTTGGGTAAATTGCAAAGATCGCCTATACCGTGGGGTCAGTACAAAGGCCCCTTAAACTTTCACTTTGCAATAAAATGCCCCTAGCCATTAAGCCAGATAGAATGCATTAAATTACTAAAATATCCACCTGAACTTTTGTTTTTTTTTCTTGTCATTTTTTCTTTAACCCTAATTAACTCCAAAATACATCCGTTTTCTCTAAACAAAATCAGTTAAAATAACAAGAGTAATCTCACCATAAAAAAACAGGTTTCTTTAAAATTTATGTTTCATTTCATTGACATGAATGTCTCCCTTCATCTTAAAATATAAAAATTATCCATTCCTTTCTCTAATAAACTAAGAAAAATCAAATAAAACCTTAAATTCATATCTATGAGAAATAAACTTCTACCATTTTATTTGAATAATGAATCCACAAGAAATTTGTAAGATAGAAAGTAGTTTGGGGATTTTAAATGTTTAAAAAACTGAATGAAAATCTTTTGAAAAGTAATTGAGTTCACTTAGGAGGATATTTATAGCAAAATTAAAGTTAGGGGGGGTCTTTATTGCAAATGAAGTTGAAGAATCTTTGTTATTGACCCCGCAGTATAAGAGGGTTCTTTGCAATTTACCCAAAATACTTTTCTACTTTAGGCATGGAACTCGTTCACGTGCGATATATAAGCATTATTATCACCCATTCACCTTTCACATCCATTTTCTCCATTTTTTGGGTATGAACCATTCTCTTCATATTTGAACCATAAATACTTATGAGCACAAAGCTTTAATTTTGGGCTATGAAAACACAACATTTGAAAGGTTATCCAAACGCAACCTTCCTTATAACCCTTGTTTTTATTCATAAAAAACACAAAACATGGTGTTCAATTCAGGCTTCAGATTTCAGCCGTTTATCGAATGACGCCTTGCCAAAACAATAATGCCTAGCACATAACTAATCTTCATTTTTCCATGGATTAATAGATTATGTTACACCAGATATCTGAAGGGTTCAGTAACCATCAATGCATGCCGGTCCCACGTAAAATAATTCAAATGTGTGGTGTAAGATGATTTGATAAGGGATACAAGTTAAAAAAGAAAAGAAAAAAAATATGCGCGTAGCATTGCAAAGCCAACAATTCCCACAGACCATGTATTCTTGCCAAAAATCTCGATTAGCCCCCTACCAGTACCAGCACTATTCCCTGCCCCTGGCTCTGATTTAAAAAAATTTCTAATACCAAAATAACTAAATAGGCCATTTGCCACGTGGCAAAAGAAATGGTAAAATTATTTGCCAAGTGTAAAAAGCATGGCGCAGCCTTTTGACTTACCATCTCAGAGTTACCACATGTAAAAAAGCTACCAGGTTCCATTTGAAAAATTAAAAGCGCAGAAAAAAGGGTAGGCGTAAAGTTGAAAGCGATAATTCATATCCGAGTGTAGCACTCATACCCTGAAACTCATATGATCTTAATCATGTAGAAGAGTCAAAGAATACATGATAGATAGAGTATCTTTTCTTTTCATTTCTTGTATGTTTTTTATATCCACGTTTTTTCCCGAAACAGTCCGCATCAAAATCCCTCACTTTCTAACGTCTTTCTCTGTTCTTTTTTATTCAAAGGTTTCTAGGGAAGCGGGAACCCAGGAAACAGAGAAAGACGCTGCTTAGAACCGTTCACTCACCGGTCACCACCTCTGCTAACATACGCTCCTCTCCACTGCTCTCTGCTGCTGCTGCTCTCTCTCGCTTCAAGACTCCTTTTGACCGGACAACGGCCATGCCACCACCCGGTCCGCCACCACTGTCGTCACCGTTACCACCACCCATGGCGACCACTCCGACCACGCTTCTCTTCCTCCTCGTGGTTTTCTCCATCACCACCCTGTTATGCTGCGCCCAGAGGAGTCCTGAAGCACTAGCTGAGATCCAGGCCTTGGTATCGTTCAAGCTCAATCTGCATGACCCGCTTGCCGCGTTGAACGGCTGGGATGCTTCCACACCATCCGCTCCCTGCGACTGGCGAGGCATTGCCTGCCATAACGGTCGAGTTAGCGAACTCCGCTTGCCTCGTCTTCAACTCGCTGGCCAACTCACTGAGCACCTTGGTAAACTCACCGAGCTCCGCAAGCTTAGCCTTCGTTCCAACGCCTTCAACGCCAGCATCCCTTCTTCTCTTTCTAAATGCTCCCGTCTTCGCGCCCTCTTCTTGCAGTACAACTCATTCTCCGGTCGTCTTCCGCCGGAGATCTTCAACCTCACTGACCTTCAAGTTCTCAATGTAGCTCAGAATCTTCTCTCCGGAGGAATCTCTGGTGATATCCCGCAGAATCTCCGGTATCTGGATTTTTCTTCCAATGAACTCTCTGGCGAAATCCCGAAGAACTTCTCTGCAACATCCAGGCTTCAACTCATCAACCTCTCGTTCAACAGGTTCACCGGAGAGATCCCGGCTAGCTTCGGGGGACTTCAACAGCTTCAGTACCTGTGGCTGGACTGGAATATGCTGGGAGGAACTCTGCCTTCCGCACTTGCAAACTGTTCTTCGCTCGTGCATTTGAGCGTTCAAGGCAATGCACTTCGAGGTGTAATACCTTCGGCTATAGGAGCTCTTCCCAGACTTCAGGTTCTCTCGCTTCAACAAAATAACCTCTCGGGTTCGGTTCCTTCTTCTGTATTTTGCAATGTGTCAGCTAATCCTCCGTCTCTGCGAATCGTTATGCTTGGATTCAATGCTTTCACGGGCCTTGTTCCACCATCAAAGGCGACATTTAGTGCTTTGCAGGTGTTAGATCTTCAGAACAACCGGATACGTGGGGGTTTCCCGCTCTGGTTGACGAATGTGTCGACCCTAACAATGCTGGATATTTCCCGTAACTCATTTGCCGGCACATTACCAGCGGAGTTCGGTAACCTCTTCATGCTAAAGGAGCTGAGACTCGCAAATAATTCATTTAATGGTGCTGTTCCAATGGAGATCGGAAAGTGCAGTTTGTTAAGCGTTTTTGATATTGAAGGGAATGGTTTTTCCGGTGAGGTTCCCGCATTTTTGGGAGAATTAAGGAGCTTGAAGATATTATCTCTTGGGGGAAATTTCTTTACGGGTCAGATTCCGAAAGCATTCGGAAGTCTTTTTGAGCTGGAAACGCTGAATCTAGGACAAAATAACCTGACTGGAAGCGTTCCGGAAGAGCTAATGCAGTTGAGCAATATGACTACTTTGAATCTCAGTGGAAACAGATTTAATGGAGAAATTCCTTCGAGCGTTGGAGATTTACGTAGGCTACTTGTTCTGAATATGAGTGGTAATGCATTTACAGGAAGGATACCGTCTAGCATTGGAAGTCTGTTGGACCTCAGGACTCTGGACTTGAGCCAGCAGAACCTCTCTGGTGAGTTGCCGCTTGAGCTTTCGGGCTTGCCGAATCTGCAAACAATTGCTCTGCAAGAGAATGCATTATCCGGGGTTGTACCTGAAGGTCTCAGTAGTTTATCGAGTTTACAGTTTCTGAACCTCACATCAAATGCCTTCTCTGGAGAGATTCCGGCAACGTATGGATTCATTCGATCATTGCTTGTTCTCTCCTTATCCAACAATCACATTTCGGGCAAGATTCCGGCAGAACTTGGCAACTGCTCTGATCTTGAAGTCCTTCAACTTGGTTCAAATCGTTTGACTGGTCAAATTCCAGGTGATCTTTCTCATCTTTCTCATTTGAAGGAGCTCGACTTGAGGCAGAACAATTTATCCGGTGAAATTCCGGAAGAAATCTCCAAATGCTCTTCTCTGACTTCTCTATTATTAAACGAAAATAAGCTAACGGGCTCCATACCAGATTCACTGTCTAACCTGTCAAACCTAAATGCGCTGAGCCTCTCAATGAACCACTTGACAGGGATTATTCCTGCAAACCTTACACATATCTCTGGTTTAAAATACTTCAATGTATCAAGAAATAACCTCGAAGGTGAGATTCCAGAGATGTTGGGTTCACGATTCAATGATCCTTCTGCTTTTGCAATGAATAGAAATTTATGCGGGAAGCCATTGGATAAAAAATGTGAGAGCATCTCCAAGGCTAAAAACAAGAGGAGGAAGAGGCTCATTCTGCTGGTTGCTGTAGCTGCCGGTGGAGCTTGTTTTTCGACGTTATGTTGTTGCTGCTATATTTTCAGTCTTTTGTGGTGGCGCAAGCGGCTCCGAGATGCGGCGGGAGATGGGGAGAAGAAACATAGCTCGACATCTGTAAGCTCAGGAGATGGTAGTCGTGGCAGCGGGGAGAACGGAGGGCCAAAGCTTGTCATGTTCAACAATAAGATCAGTTACGCAGAAACATTAGAAGCAACGAGACAGTTTGACGAGGAGAATGTGCTAAGCAGGGGTCGTTACGGGCTGGTGTTCAAGGCCTGTTACCAAGATGGAACAGTGCTTTCAATCCGCCGTCTCCCTGATGGATCAGTTGACGAGGGAACTTTCAGAAAAGAAGCAGAATCGATTGGGAAGGTGAAGCATAGAAACCTAACTGTTCTGCGAGGGTACTATGCAGCACCCCCTGATATTCGGCTCCTTGTCTATGATTACATGCCCAATGGCAACCTTGCCACACTTCTCCAAGAGGCATCCCACCAGGATGGCAATGTGCTCAATTGGCCAATGCGCCATCTGATTGCCCTTGGGGTTGCCCGAGGCCTAGCGTTCCTGCACACAGCCAACATGGTTCATGGTGATGTTAAGCCACAAAATGTGCTCTTCGACGCAGACTTTGAAGCCCATCTCTCAGATTTTGGACTCGATCGTCTAGCAATTACTACACCAGCAGAAGCATCAACGTCGTCCACTTCTGTTGGGTCACTGGGGTATGTATCGCCAGAGGCGGTTTTGACTGGGCAAGTGACTAAGGAAGCTGATGTATACAGTTTTGGGATTGTTTTGTTAGAGTTATTAACAGGAAGGAGGCCGGTGATGTTCACACAGGATGAGGACATAGTGAAGTGGGTGAAGAGGCAGTTGCAGAGAGGTCAAATATCTGAGTTGCTTGAGCCAGGGCTCCTTGAGCTTGATCCAGAGTCATCTGAATGGGAAGAATTTCTGCTAGGGGTGAAGGTGGGACTATTGTGCACAGCACCAGACCCCCTCGACCGGCCTTCCATGGCTGACATTGTCTTCATGCTTGAAGGTTGTCGGGTTGGGCCTGACATCCCCTCCTCTGCTGATCCCACCTCTCAACCATCTCCAGCATGAAACAAAATGTAGTAGTGAGTCTAGTGACATTGAGACCAAGGGAAGAGATGCATTGCAACTTTCTGACAGAGGGCATATTATAGCTATATCTGAACGTCGAGGAGCATGAGGTCCTGTCCTCTTAGTTTCTTCAGATTTTTCAACTCTACCATCACCAAGATACTGTGTGCTGCCCTGGCAACTGCAAACTAAATGAGGATGCTGACATATAGTTTTGATTGTTGAAGACAAAAGTTGTCTTGGTTGGGAAGGAGCTCATCCACAATCTCTACTTTAAGATGTGGTTTCATCTTTGTATTTCAGCTTCCATTCTTTTTTAATTGTAGTTAACATTTCTTTCTCATTGATGAATTTATCAGTCTCTATATTTAATTCATCAAGTTTCTGTGTATCTCAAACTAATCTATTTTGTTTTAATCCTGTTTAAATTTGATTTATTAAACTATTGTATTGTGAATTTGTGAGTTAGTTTTGATGCCAAACTTTCCCTGCCTTGGTTATGGTTCTTTTGACTTATTTTAAGTGTCTAACTATTTTTTGTTCTTCAATTTCTGGTGATAATTTTTAATACATTTCCTATCTCAAGTTAAATCTTCCATTTATTTGAACAAACAAATCCCGTATTATTCATTCTTCAAGTTGCTGCTTTTTTTTTTCAAATCTTTAATATTTATTGGCAGTGAAGATGATGAAGTAAATTGATGAGATGTGAAGAACTATCAAGCTCATGGAGAGGTGTGCTTGAGTAACTTACCTACCAAAAAATAGCATGCAGTAATGAATAAGATATCTCAAACTTTACAAAAAAATTATGCTTTACATTAATATTATATTATGCTTTCAATCCTGATTCCATTATCTATTGTTAGTGTGATGAATCCATCAAGTTTGCATCCTGCTTGGTCATCAATTTTAGACGAGAGTTGCATCAAGTCACACAAAATGAGCAGCAAATGACTTGCTATTGCTTTATTAAGGCAGATTGTTCCTTTTCTTTTTATTGTGTTTTTTCATGTTCTTTACTCCTCATTACAGTGGGTAATGAAAGAGTAACAAATTGGTAGAATCTCAGAGTTGTTTCTGTTTGGTATTGTTTTAGACTGGGCCAGCATTTTAATTGACTCTTTTTACTGGGTCCAGCTGGTTCTGCAAATACTGATACTGATCCAAAAGATTTGGCATATTGCTTCCTTGAGACTGATTTGGATTTTTATGTTCCAACCAGCGGAGCTTATTCTTCATCATCATCTATGCCTTGTCTCAACAATATGAGGTAGTGGAGCTTACTATATGGTAGAAACCACTGGATATCCATCTGACATAGTGCCTGTGATAGCCTATTGTATGATGCAGGGATGGTTTCAATCAAATCATACACATAGAAAGTTATGCTATCTTGCTTCCAAGGAAAAATTAAAGCTTAATGCAAGATGTAGAACAATACAAGGCCTTGCTGAACATCATATATGAACAATACAAGGCAGTGATAGCATGGTGAATTGAAGCACCAAGATATGTCTTTGATTCCAAATTGGTCCTAACCTCAGTGTGCTGATAATTCACTTTTTGGGTGATAACTCCTATGAATAAAAAGAGAAGTATTATTCTGTCTTCCAATATAATCCATTTGTTTTTAACAGGGCAAACTTCAATGAAGTATAATTTTTCTTGGCTCCTAATCATCAAATTCTTTTTCAGCTCACCAAGTTTCTTACCAAGATTCTGTGGTTGGTATTCTATTTTTGAACATTTTTATGCCAAGCTAACCTAGTGAATGAACTCCAGATTTCAGATTCCAACTGCTCATATGCAAACAACCTTCACTACAGGATTTTTTTTTGTTAGCTTTTATGTGTGGGATGCATTAAAGGCAATACTTGTAGAAAATACATGCAAGGCAACAAGAACAAAGATAGGAACCAGAATTTTGTTGACTCAAACTGTTTCCTTTCCAATGGATCTGAATGAAGCAGTAAGTTTCCTGAATCATATGATGATGCTTTAAGAAATGTGAATTCTTTGTTACTTTCTTGTCATATTAATTCTGTCGCTTGAAGCGTCTTTGATCTGCTGCATATAGCAGTGAACTGGTATTAACAGAAGAATTTGAAGGCCTCTTTTCTTTAATTAAGAAAATTATTCACATTTGTAGTGAAAGTAATCAAGCACCCAGTGACATAGTAAACTGGGCTTGCAGCATCAAGGACGGAAGAGTTGGGGTTGGGAAACACCTTACCAAAGCAGGTGAAAAGCTTTATATTCAATTACAAATTTTATGAAATAAGAAACAGAAAGTTGAGGGAAAGTTTTATGAAATTGCTTAAGAACTTTCCCTCGATTTTGTATTTCTCTCTTATTTTCTACCAAACCAAATTGTCATTTGGAATGGTTGGATAGTTTCCATGTCAATTTTATTTTTTTGAGAAAATGTAGTTTCCATGTCAATCATTTCATATTAACCTAAATGGCCTCTCTAGTTTGTAATCTAGAACTTAAACAATTTATAGATGGGTACTTTGTGGGGGGGGGGGGGGTGTAGCATGTAGTACAGTTTTCCCTTCTTTGGAAAACTGTGTATTGTTTGCAGCCCATAATTACCAGGAAACCTGATTCTACGTGAATAGGCATTTCTGTGGATACCTGTATGAGGGTTTTGCAGCATCTGTTCAGGATCATCCCTTCTCTCTCTCTCTCTCTCTCTCTCTCTCTTCTTTTCTTTTTCTTTCAATACTTGCTTCTCTCCTTGGAAACTATGTTGCAGATATAACATCTTTCACAGGGTTTATCATTTGGATGGTTGACATGGCCAATCCTAACCAGCCTTCTGACCCTTAATCTTCTAGATTGGCCACATCAACACTTTGCCACCCTGGTCATTCTCAAATATTCATTCTTTCTCTGCAACTTAAGGACAAGGATAGGATGTATAATCATCCTTTCCATGAATTATTATGATGGTTTTTCTGACAAATTGTTGGATATGTTCTGGTTAGTTTTTGCTGGAATTTTTGTTTATTTGCAGCAGCTTTAGGATTTGTAGAGCTATTTGAATTAGAATCTTAGCTTTTACAGGTGTACTGTATGCTGGGAACCAACTCGAATAACAAGAAATAAATGGGAAAATCTTTTAGTAAATCAGTCATTAAACATCCTATGAATGACTTGCTACTTTACCATATGACTATTCTATCTAGACAAAATAATAAGATATCCGATTCAGCCACTTCAGCTGTAATCAAACGCCCCCTTATCAAAGCTGATGAACCAGTCGTTAGACCTGGACCTTCAGCACTTTAGAAACAGTAATTTTAATTATTTGAGAGAGAGAAAAAGTAACATACATGGTGGGCCATTGGGCTAGCATGGAGTTATGGACGAGGGCATTGGATAGTCTAATCTTGATTCTTGGTTGGTTGCTTGAGATGGATCATCTCCATCTACCATGGCATCCTCCTGAGTGTTACAATTTCCCATCCTGCAGTCTGCAGCCTTTAAGTTTGCAGTTTGCAGTAAGAAATTCAGTGTCTGTTGGTATGTTTTTTGTTTGCTTCTTACCTTGTATCTTTTGTTGTTGACAAATTCCTCCCAGAGGATTAAAATCTAAAATCTGCTAGTGAAAGAAATGGCACTGTAGCACAGCATAGAAGGGACAATCTTCAGACTTCAAATTCAGAAATATTAGGGGTGAATTTTTTTTTTTTAATAACTAAAATCCAACTCGATTCAACAATATCAAAGCCTTGTTCGAACTAGTCGGAATTGGCCGTTAATTATTCCTCACCATTCTACTTTACCACTCGTATCTCTCTTTTTAGGGTCTGTTTGATTGCCGAGATGGACGGTTGTGTTGAGTTGAAACGAAACGAAGACTGCTGCAACCATCCGCCCCGACAAAGGTGGATTGGCATCCCTCGGTTGTTGGTTCTGAAACTGTTTTATGGGTTGTTTGGTTGCAAGAGATGAGGAAAATACAATATTTTCATTGGATGTCATTTTTTCGGTATTTGTTTTGTGATGCGGGAGGGAAGCACAACTATTGTAAATCTGAAACATGGGATTTAGGGTCTTAATAAAACATTGTGACTCCAGTGAAAATGAAAAAAAACCGGTAGTAAGTTTTTCTCCTTTCTCTGCCTACATGGCTAAGACATAATAACCACGTGGCTCTTCATTTGTGTTCTGTTGGCCCCTAGAAAGGGCACAACTGTCATATGTACATTGTTCAGCTTACTAATTGAGGAGTGAAAAATGGACCAAATTTTATGATCAACCCTTTTCTCATATATGATATATATTTATTCTAGGGGTGATCATTTCCAGCCCAGCCCGAATTAATCGGAAATTCTGATCTGGGCCTAGGTTTTGTATTCAGGCTGTATAAGGGCCCAATACGTCAGGTCTGGAACCTGGGCCATGAAATGATGACTCCAATTTATTCTCACTCAGCAGCTAAATAGTAAATACAGTTATACAGGATAACAAAATGAGAAAGCAAAGCAAAATTTCTTTTTCTCATTCCATTCTGAGGTGACATTCTGCATAGTCTTTTCATCTCTCCTTTGGAGCTTGTAATTTAATACTAAATCGCTCACTCACTAATGTAGTTATTTGTTTACAAACTAACTAGTTGGAATTTTTCTTACAGTCTTGCAGGTGCCACAGCTGTCTTGCCAGAGTAGATGCTCAAATTGTACAAACCAGTTATTTGGCATTTTCCATACAGTATTGCAGGTCTGGTAGATGTATTCCAGGATTTCTCACTAAGTTTCACCGACATTACAAAATTTTCCCTTCAGCTTGATTGGTTGCACCATGAATATTGAAAATTCACTTTACAAGAGAGAAAAAGTGGAAAAGCAAGGGGTAACAGGATTCAAGCCCTAGTCTGTTTCTGTGACTCCTTTGCTTCTCAAGATTGTAATTTGTGAATAGAATAAAAAGATAAAAAGTTGAAGGAACACAAGAGGGCATGAAAGGAGAAATCAGGGGTGTGGTGTATAGAGCAGGGTGCCTGCAGTTCCGCAGATTTGATTTGGATCTTATGGAGGGATGCCGACTGCCAAGTGACCACCTCATCGATTACTCGCCTTCGGCCACAAAAGGGCATGAACAGGTTTTTTAGCTGTTGCGCTTACAACTTCCTTTCAACATCAATAACTCTATTCATCCATCTTCTTGTTTTTATTTCTCCAACGGCTAACTCCTTGCAACTCTAACATGGCGGCCCCCTTATCCTCACTTTGTCCCACCAAAATTTTCTTGATTCAAGTTCAACTTATTAGAGCTGTTAATGGATCGGGTCTGGTTTGGGACAGGGTGGACCTCTCCCAAATCAATTAATTATTAATCTGTTCTGTAAAATAAAACCCAAAACCGAACCAACTATTAATATATTATAATTTCATTTTTTTTATAATATATAACCTTAATAAAAACGACACTAAGATGGTGAACTGT